TTCACTTGCTAACTTACCCTGTCCATTTTCCACTGCATGCTAGCTCCTTTGTTTCAGACGTGTCCCCCACAAGCCCCTGTGGCATGCAGCCATGGCATCTTTGCTGTGCAGCTGCAGGTCCCCATGGTGACTTCCCCTGTCCCGAGGAAAAGGATGAAAGCGTCTGAGCAGAAAGTTTCCCCTGATTTTCAGAGCTTCCTCTTTGTTCTAGAATCAAACCCCTAGGACTGTGACACTGGGGAGCAGGGGTGTTGATGTAAGGGCAGGGTTCTTGAGCAGCCCCACACACCCTGACCTCCCCTGAATATCCCCCTCTCCCTGCAGAGCTGGGCTGGCTGGATTGCTCTGGGGCTGGGGGAGGTGGGGAGCTTCCTGTCCTTGGCTTGCTTAGGAGCTCCAGTGCATGAATTCTCAGGGCCACATGGGTCCTGTTTACTTGTCATGCTGAGAAGACATTGGCCCATTGTAGCTGAGCTGGAAGTGAAGGGGAAACAACCCTTCAATTCATGTGTGTAATGCTCTCTGATTCCTCCTTATGCTGGCACCATGAGTCATCTCGTATCCTGCACCAGGGCTCAGCTCCAGGCAGGCAGCCGCATGGCTCCATGTAAATCAGGCATTAGTCCGTATGTACATGTGAGTGTGCCTGGTTCCTGACAGAGCCCAGCCTACTGTGCTAAGCTGGAGTGAGCTGGGGCAGGGCCATGCTGCTCATTCCTTTCTCTCCATCTGCTTTTCCTCTTCCCCGTCTCATGGGGGAGCTACTGCGCCTCACCAGGGAGCCTGAACCATGCAGCCTGGGGAGCCTCCACTGGCTTTGTTTAGTGCGAGGCCTTGGTGTGAAGCTGGACATGGCCAGAGCTTATTTTCTGGAGCTAATTCCAGGCTTTGTAATGTTACCATTTAGTTCCCAACATATCTGTGTTGGTTCCATGTGTCCCGGATCCACAGGATCTGTGCTACAGCCCAGTTTGTAAACCACCTTCACAGGAACCCCTTCAGTGGGGCAGGCTCCCAAAGAGTCCCACTTGTTCTTCAGGATAACCCATGCAGCCTCACCGCTTCTGGAGCGAGCTGCCTGATGCACACTGGGAACTCTGCCCAGCGACTCCAACTCTCCATGCTGCAGGACTAATGCTCCCCGGGCCTGTATTTGCTGTGACCCCAAACAGCGTTTTCAGAACACAGTGGGGTTTGTTAGTCGGCTGGAACACAGCATTGGAAGGCCTCAGGTTAGCAGAGAGAAATGAAGGTTAAAACATGGTCCCTTCTGGTTAAGCCAGCACAAGTCACTAGCCAAACTGTCATGAACACCATTTCAGGCTCGGTCTCTCTCTGACCTCCTTAGTGAGTGCCAGGAGAGAGAGCAGCCAGCTTCCTCCAGAAGCCCACCCTTAAGTTTAGCCCATGCTGGTCATGGCTCTGTCCTTTGTTCTCAAGCTGGGGTCTGGGCTCAGCTTCCCTGCTGAAAGGTGGGCAGAAAATCTCCCCGCCCTTCGTGGTTGTTACTCGGTGTCAGTGTTTGGTCGCTGGAGCTTTTCCATTGTCTCTTTGGGATTCTGCATTGACATAGGTCACTTTCAGCAGGTTCCAGCCAGTTCCTTAACGACCCTACTCACTGTGGCCCAGACAGCAAGGCACCACCCACACCTCATGTCCTGCGCTGCCCCAAGAGCAGATTTAACACTTTTCCCTCCACTGGGTAACAATGCAAAGTACAGAGGGAAACTGACGCACATACAGGCTTCATAAAAATGTTACAGAAACTTCCCACTTCACCACAACATGTATTTTATTGTGGTGCATTTTCAGGGGGGAGGACAACTAAGCACTTATCTGCGCCTGTTGGGAAGAAAGCCACATACCCCAGGATCTGAAAGATGCAAAGATAATTACTGTATATCAAAATAAAGGCGACAGAGCAGACTGCAGCAACTATCGAGGGACATCTCTGCTCAGCGTGGTCGGCCAGGTACTTGCAAGCGTCCTGCTGAAGACTCCCAAGTCCTTGCCGAGAGAGTCCACCCTGAGAGCCAGTGTGGGCTCGGAGCTGAGTGCTCCACAACTGATGTCCTTCACATTGCTCTTGGTGCCAGAAAAAAGCTGTGAAGAACAGGCACTGCTCTACGTAACATTCATTGACCTACGAAAGGCCTTTGACTCGGTTAGCAGGAATGGCATCTATAATATCCGCTTGAAAATTGGCTGACCACAAAAGGTGCTCTCCCTATTCAAGGAGTTCCACAAGGAAATGAAGGTAACCATCCAGTATGAAAATGAAACAGCATCCGAGTTTGGTATTGATACTGGTATGAAGCAAGGCTGCATCTTCGTACCCACCAGCTTCGGCATTGCCTTCTCTATTCTTAAGTGCACCTTTGGAAATGATCTATCTGGCAGACCAACTGAATGGAGGATGGACGGCAGCTTGTTCAACATCAGACAATTTCAGAGCAGAAGGCACATTATCAAGCTTACTCTTCAGGATCTGCTTTTTGCAGATGACACCGCATTCATCTCTCATTCACCTGATGAACTGCAGGTCATGAAGAACAAGTTCTCTGATGTATGCACCAAGTTTGGCACGGAAATCAGTATCAAGAAAACAGTTGTCATGTCACAATGAACCAACATTCCACCTAAAATCTATGTCAATAATGATGTTCTGGATAATATGGATCACTTCTGCTATCTCAGCTCAGTTGCTGGGGCAAGGTTCAACACAGCCTGGCAGATAAGAGCGCCCCCTACTGAACCACCAGCCTCCATTGAATGGTGGTCTCCCATCCAGGTACTAAACTCATTAGCATCAACTTAGAACGTGAGATGTGACAATATCAAGGTTTCAGGCCTTCCTCTCATTTTTTCTCATTTTCTTGATTTTACTTACCCCTCTTCCCACTTCTCTGAAATAATTTTATCTCCTCTGAAAATCCACAGAATCTGCGCCCCCCTAGGGCATTGTCCCAGAAATACCATCTTGAGGGCTGTGTGTTGGAATGCCCAGAGCTTTTCAAAGGGTCATTTCCTTTGTCTTTACTATATTAATCTCTTAGGTTTATATAGTGCCTTCCATCCAGGAGGATCCCAAAGTGCTTTTGGGGCTGTACATACACTTAGATGCAGCCATCTCCTGGATGGTCAGCTTAGGACAGGAAGTGAAGGAAAATCTAGAATCTAATTGAAACTTGGGAATGAGTTCCAGGGAAGCAGAATGTAGTTTCTTGAACTGGACTATGGCCAGGACATTGGGGCTCTCACTCTTATTGTGGGAAAGGTTTCATGAGAGTGAGCGTTAATGTCTCAGAGTGGTCACATCCTCAGATTTTATGTTTCTCCAAAAGCTGGCACCCCTTGCTGTCATGCTGGGGCAAGGTTCAACACAGCCTGGCAGATAAGAGCGCCCCCTACTGAACCACCAGCCTCCATTGAATGGTGGTCTCCCATCCAGGTACTAAACTCATTAGCATCAACTTAGAACGTGAGATGTGACAATATCAAGGTTTCAGGCCTTCCTCTCATTTTTTCTCATTTTCTTGATTTTACTTACCCCTCTTCCCACTTCTCTGAAATAATTTTATCTCCTCTGAAAATCCACAGAATCTGCGCCCTCCCTGGCCTCGGTCTTTCCCTGATCTCTGCAGGAATGGGGTGTCTGTGGGTTAGGGCTCCTGCGCCTAGCTGAGATCTGCAGCCTGCCATGGCTTTGGAAGTTCAGCTTAATGTCCCTTCTCTTTTTCTGATGCATTATTATGCATTTTTAGTCAGTCAGTCAGTCATGGAGAACATGTCTGTGTTCAGAGGGCAGATGGGGAGAGAAGTCTCTTAGCCACTGGTCTCAGCTGTGGCTGACCCGGCTGGCATGGGCACCGCCTGGTATCTCTGTGTTGGATGTTTGCAGTAGCTGTAACACAAGCCTTGCCTGGCTTGTGCCAAGTTCTTCTATGGTGCTTTGCATCACACTTCTTCCTTGGTGTGCTGAGAGAGGCGGATGGGCTCTGCAGCTGGGACTGAGTGAGCCAGCAGTGTGCTAAGGCAGCGTGACTGGCCTGACCTTAAGCATGGAGCCATGCGGAAAAATAAAATGGCCTTCACTATCCTTCTCCCCTCTCCCTCTGGACAGGGTCTTCACCTCCCCTGCCGCTGAGTCTGGCCCCTGACCAGACAGCTTCATGATCTGTGCCCTCTCTACACTTTCTCAGTGGGGTGTGAAGCCACCAAAAGGGGCAGAGAAATAATGTTGAGGGCACAGGTTGCCAGTAATGAAATGCTAAAATGCCTGTTCCCCAGCTGCCTCCTGCCATGACTGACTAGATTGGAGAGTGGGGCAGCGTCTGCCTTGCCCTGCAAGTGTAACCCATGCCCAGCCAGCTCCCTGCCACTCTCACAGCCTCAGAAGTGGGTTCTGACTGGCCGTAGATGCACTGATGGGATTTGCTCTGCCCTGAGGCAGCTCTGTTGGGAAGAGTTATGATCATGTGGCATCTACTTGAGTAACAGCTTCAGCCCTCTTGAGGAGCTGTTGTGTGACTTGTGAACTACTGGGAGGAGCCCTGTCCTCAGTGCTGAGGTGAACATGCCAGCAGGGATGGAGATGAAACATGCAGCTAATTATCCCTTTAGCACTTTGGAATTCTCCCCTCGTTCACAGGAGGAATTAGGAAGTCTGAGAGAGTGGCAGCTTCTGAGCCCATGATGGCTCCGCAGGCAGGGCTTTCAGGCACCCAATGGGCAGTGGCTGCCAGGAGCTTGGGGTCTCTGCCTTGCCACTTCCCTGTTTGGAGCATGCTGATTCCTCCTCTCCTAAGTGGGGGGAGGAGGGGGCGGTGCTGGCTTGGGGGAAAGGAGCATGCTGGGTGCTTGGCTTTCCCCCTGTAGTCTCCCCCAGCCCATGCACTAGGACAAAAAGGGCAGGAATTTTCCTTGTCTCTCAGAGGGGGTTCAGGGTGAGGGGCCTGCTGTTCCCTCCATAAGCTGATGTTCTCTGCTTGTCTCCTCAGAGTGCCTCTCGGAGGACTGTCGCTCAGTGCTCCAGGAACAGGCCACAGCGCTGGGACTCTGCATGTTCGCCCTGCTGGTGAGGCGCTGCACCAGCTTACTGAAGGAGTCCGTCCGAGGTAAGGGAGCTGTCTGCACAGTGCTGGGTAGTGCTGGTGGCCTGCTTAACAACACTGTGCTGCAGGTCTTCCCTGCCCTAGCCCAGCCCTGCTTCCCAGGCCTGGCTCACTTCCTGCTCCATCACACACCACTTGTCTCTTGAGGCCTCTGGGTTTTGTCCTAGTTTTCAGACCATGCCTCCCCTCCTCCATTCCTGGGGTCTCTCTCCCTTTGACTCCAGGCAGCTCCAGGACTTCAGTGTGGGGCTGCCCGAGCTGGAGAGCCCGCGATGTATGTTGGGGCTCCATGACCCTTAGTCTTTTCACCTCTCCTGCTACATGACAGGCTTTCTGGTGCCTCCAGGCGACTCCGGGAAGTCAGGATTCCTGGGTTCTGTTCCTGGCTCTGCCATTGACTCGCTGTATGGGCTTCAGCAGGTCACGACCACCCTGTAAAATGGGGTGATGCTGCATCCCGTCCTTCCCTTTGGCCAGTCGCTGCGTCTGGAGTGCATTAGTGGGGATGCAGCATTCTCTGTGCATCTCCGGAGTCAGGCACTCAGTGGCCTGTGCGTGCACACACGCCCAAGAGGCAGGGACCCAGCCAGCCTTCCTCAGGAATGGGGGACTGCAGCGGGCCTGGCCCAGCTTTGTTTTTTGTCTCTGCAGCTTGGCCCCAGGAAGCAGAGCAGGATGAGGAGGATGATATCAAGGTCTCCGCCTTGCCCCAGGATCTGAAGGAGCTCCTCCCCAGCGTGAAAGTCTGGTCGGACTGGATGCTCGGCCACTCGGACACCTGGAACCCCCCTCCCACCTCCCTCGAGTTGCCCAAACAGTATGTGATCTCTTCCTGCTCTTCCAACACGTGCCCATCTCTGCGAGCTCCTTGCCGGTGCCCCTCGTTCCCTTTTTGCCCCTCACGGAGGTGGTGCGCTCTGTCCTCCCAGCACCACTGCCTGAGCAGAGGGTATCGCTCACTGCCCTGTGCTGTGCAGGGGATGTTTCCGTGGTGCTGACAGTGTCCTGTGCATGGAGAAGGGTGTTAGTGACAGAGGAATCTTCCCTAGCAGCGAGAGCTGGGGGCTGGAAGTGGGGTGTATGTGGCTCAGGGTGGTGGCAGGCATCCCAAGGGCACAGCATTAAACCTTGTGACTAGCTCCCCTTCGTTCCCTAGTGTGGCCGGATTTCTAGCTTACACATGGGATCTCTCTCTTCATTTCCTGGGGTGCATCTCCCTAGGCCCTTTGCCAGCCAGCCAGCTGTTTGTCTGTGAGAGTGGAGCCTGCTCCCAGCTCGCTGCTTGAATTCTCTTCACCTGTGAGAAGGGGCTGGGCAAACCACATTCAGCCTGGGCCAAGCCTTGAGCAGCCTCGCTGTGCTGGGAACCCCCTTCTCCTGCTTTGAAAGCAAGTTCCTCTGCCCCAGCCAGTCACAAAGGGTTAATTTGCTAAGCTGGCTGATTCCAGACCATTAGTCCATAATGCGGACTAGGCAATTTGCATAATTTTGGACAGAAAATCATGTGAAGGGGCCAAGTATGGAGTATGCGAAGCAGTGTCTGAGCATGCGCCGTAACTGCTTTCCCGCAGGATTTTCCATCTGCCTCCGGTACTCTGGGTCCAGAGCCTGAAATCACTTCTCATGGTTAATCCAAAGGAGTCAGAACCCAGGGTGATGGGAAGGCGCATTAAGAGTAATCCAGCAAAGTGGCTTAACCATTAATGGGTCCCTGCTCCAATGCATCAGGTCCAGTCCCGCTCTCCTGTTTTATTGCCTCCACTCCAGTTCTTTTTCATTTGGCTGAGGAAATGGAAATCTCACACAGGAAGTGCTGGGCCTCATTTTGTGGAGATGGAGTCTGTTTTCTGTTTGTCGGCTGCTCGATGTGGGACCGTTGCCTGCTCATGTGAACTGTTGCCCATCTTTGGGCAGGAACTCAAACTCGGAGCTGTCATGTGAGCATGCTTGCACCAATCCGGAGCCCCCTTTGCGCTGCCTGTGCAGGGAGCTGCTGAGCCGTCGGCAACGGGCTTGCTTCGAGATGGAATTTCTGATTGGGTTCATGCAGCCAGCGCTCATCATGTTCCAGGGAGGAGCCACCTCCTCCCTTGTTCGGGGTGCGACTGAGATCTGCTTCAGCTGCCTCCGGCTGCCGGGAACCGGTCTGGCTCCCTGACGGGGTTAGGAGCAGGTGCAGGCTCCCCCTTTCCCATCAAGATGGGAGAAGGTGAGGGTTACAACCCAGCCCTTATCCGAGACTGTGGCCCATGGTTCCATCAAGTGCCAAGGAGCAGCTGGAGATGCAGGTCTGAGTGATAGGAGGTGGCTGGGCCTGGGCCATAATGTACTTTGAGCGCCTGCTCTGCTCAGAGCTCCAGAGTTGGGGAGTCAACGAGCGTCACCATTTGGTGAAGGCTCAATGGGCCCAGCCACTTCCCCTGCCTTGGTCTCTTCATGCAGTGCCTGGGCCTGCCCCTCCTCCCACTGTTCAGATCCTTTCCCTGCAGTGACTAGAGCCCGTTCTTCCCCATTGCCCACTGGCTGACGGGCCCTCTCAGATGTGGTGAGTTTACACGGCACTTCTCTGGTTTACGTTTGGGGTGCTCCAAGATGTTGTTAGCACAAGAGTTCTTTGCCTGTTTCCCACCACTCTTGTGTACCCCTGTGTGCGGGAGGCCATGACCGCACTGTAGCGGTCTGAGCAACTGAGAAATGGAGCCCCCTGCTGGAGATGTACCTCTCCAGCAAGAAGAGACGAGGTGGCAGGAGAACCAGCTCAGCCCTGCCCTCCCCTCACGTCCCCAGTCTCAGCATGTCTCCCCAGCAGGTTGGACAGGAGGAGTGACGACTGGCGTAGCATTCCTGCTCTGTACTGACGCACGCCTGCACTCTGGCTCGGCGGCTGGTGGCTAACCAGGGCAGCCATCAAGTCCAGGGGCCTTGACAGGAACTATTTGAAGATGTTCTAAAAGTAAATCATGGGCCGGAGCGTGAGTGAATGCCTTGGGCCAGGCCTGGGACCCACGGGGGGGTGACCTTGAAGAGAGAGAGAATGTGTAAATGCTAAGAGCAGAGCTTGACTCCTGGGGCTGGGCGATGAGGAGGTGCAACGTTCCCAACTCCATGCTCCCTACAGCTGTGAGTTCTCCCGGTCTTGTGCTCAGAGCCTGGACTGGGATAGCTGGAAGCTGCCCTTCTAGTGCTACTTCGCCATTCCCTTCAGTGCCGCCTCTGGGGACTGGTGCAGAGCAAAGGGACTGAGTAGAAATTGAAATGTGGGAGCTGTGGGGATCCAGCAAATCTCTGCATCTCTAGAAATCTCACCGGGTCTCCAAAAAGCCCAGGCCCAGCACCAGCCCGGTGGCTCGTCCTGGGGCCAAGGCCAGGCCCAGCACGGCGCTTGTCCCGAGGCCAAGGCCAGGTCCGGCATGGCGCTCGTCCTGGGGCAAAGGCCAGGCCCGGCACTGGCACGACGGCTCATCCTGGGGCCAAGGCCAGGCCCGGCGGCTCATTCCGGCACCAAGGCCAGGCCCAGCACAGCGCTCGTCCCAGGACCAAGGCCAGGCCTCGCACCGGCCTGACAGCTCATCCCAAGGCCAGACCCCGCACGACGCTTGTCCCAAGGCCAGGCCCAGCACTGGCACGGCGCTCATCCTGGGGCCAGATGCAGCCCAGCAGCCCATCCGAGCTCATGCTGGGGTCTGGGCTGGTGAGGCGGCTTGTCGAGGCTCATCCAGAGCCTGGGGCCTAGGCCGGTGGACTGCCCGTCCCAGTGCCTCTGCTGTATTCTCCACATTCGTGATTCCTAGTTCTCCACAAGTGACAGAGTCAGGGGACTTTGAGAACGTCTAAACTCAGCCCAGCTGTGGCAGTTGGTTTATTGCTTTCAGCTGGTACTTGAACCCGGGTCCTGGTCTTGGAGTCTTTCCCAGGTTTAATCCCCGGAGTTTTCTCTGCAGCTGTATGACACTGCACTGACCCCGAATGAGGATAGGAAAATAGAACCAGTGCCAAGCCAGAGTCTCTTTTTCATTTGGAGTCTGGCTGTCTGCCCATGACCAGGGTTACATAATGGGAAACATAGCTGGGCTCTGGAGAGCCCGCGTTTCACCACGCTGCCCAGACCTTCGCATTCTGATGCTATAGATCTTCCTAATTGTAGCTCAGATGCATTTATCACACTGTTGGATTTGAGTCTTTACAATAAAAAACACCAAATTCCTCAGCTTGCTGCTTTCCCCGTTGGACAGAGACGCAGGGAAAGGTGTTAGGTAAATGCTGCGCTCCGCTCCAGCACACGGCACTGGGGACTCAGAGCAGCATCTCAGGGGTGTCCTTTCCCTGACACGTGCTTAGGAACATGCGTAGAGCATGAACCCCAGCATTCAGGGTGTCCTCTTCACATCCAAATGGGCCCCAGGGCCGTGTGTGATACGAATGGTGGACTGCACCCTTCCCAAGATCCCTACTCTTGATTCTAGGCTGCTTTGAGCTGACCCCCACCCATAATAGACTGATTGGTGCTGGACCACAGAGGTTTGGGGGAAGATACAGACAATGTGTAGCCCTCTTTGGGACTGTGTGTGTGGGGGGGGTGACCTTCCTTCTCCTCTACCTCTCTGGGGGAGGTGCCTTCCATGGCTGCCATGTTGTGGCACAGTTCCTGGGTAGTAGCAGGGCCTCCTGTTGATGGCACAGCCGCATCATGGGCATCTCTGCTTGGATTCCAGAGAGCAGCAAAGTATTCGTGTGGTGGCTCCCTTGCCGAGAGGGGTTTGGTGAGTGAAGAGTGTGACTCTCACTCCAGCTGGAGAGAGGGCATGTATCTGAATACCGGGTACATTCCCCTCCACACAGTGTATGTGTGTTCCTGCCCCACCCAGTGGTACCAAAGAGTAGGTTGCGTGACCCAGCTGTGAAAGGCAATAACCCCACAACACAACTTCCTCATGCATAGCATCTCTCTCATGAGCTCCTTACGGAGAGTAGCTGAGGGGGTGGGCAAAGGAAAAGAGAGAGCGAGAGTTGACGAGGCAGAGATGTTACTGATGCACCCGCTGATGGCGTGAGGTAGATTTGCAGGCCGAGGAGAAGAGTTTCGGTGTGAGGTGGATGCTGGAGCTGCAAAGGAGAGGTGGGGGAGCCAGGGCTACAGGGCAGGAAGCTGCTCCTGCCTTTGAGGCCGTGGTTGAGGAAGTTGAGACTGGTGGGCAGAGAAGAGCACAAATTCCCTTGTGAGCTCAGAGATCTGCTCGCTGCTTCTCCTCACACCGACGAGCACATCGGAAGTTCAAACTCAGCAATGGGAGAAACCCCAGACTATTCAGTGTGATGCGGGGTGGCCGCTGGGAATCTGCTTTCCTGCTAGGCTGGGAATGGGTCTCTGAGCTTGCTGTAGGCTGCATGCAGCCATTTCAAGTGGTGCATTTAAACCAAGTATTAAATTCAACCCAAATGCTTTGAAAAAATCCTAGAGCCTCCTTTATAGGAGCATGGAAGAGCCTGTCAGGCTGCCCTCCTCACACAGGGCCTGCTGAGCAGTGTCAGCTCCCACGGAGGGGCAGCGCCCCAGCCCAGCCCCTGAATACAGGAACCAAGACGCTGGTAGGGATTGCTAAGAGCTGAATTGAAAACCCCTTCTGAAGCCTTGTCTCCTTTAGTGAATGTTGGTCATGGATCTGTCCCTGTCGAGCTGTCACGTCAGCAGGGCCAATGGCTGGGAAGAATGAAGGTCGAGTCAAGCTAGAGAAGAGGCAAAGCTCAAGCATTTGAGCCCCACCTGGGGAGGGGTCGCGGAGCAGCCTCAGCGCCATTAGCTAGGGAGGAGCAGGAGCC